AGACTGGAACAACTTCTGGATTGAGTCAGGATCATGGAATGAGGAACGATTGGGGGTTTGCTCACTCTAAACATTGAAATGTTGAAAATATTGTTTTGATTTTTGCCAGTGGTGTCAAAATGTTCCACCCAAAGGGCAAACAGCTGTGCAAAAGATTGGAGCTGAATCTGATCACCTGATCATGAATCAGGGATATCTGAATATATTCACAATCCACAGACTGGATACTGGGGATGAATCCTGTGCTTTTTATAACTTCATGATCTGTAGCAGCACCCTAAGGACAAATTTTTATTCCCACTACTGGTAAAGCTCTAATAATAGTACAACCATCATTATGTTATTCATTCTACATTTTAATAGGCAGTTGAACACTATAGCCTCAAAGGAATATTAGCTGGGTTTAAACTTTTAGTTTTGCAATTTATAGAAACAGGCCAACATATACCAGCATGTGTCTGTGTCTGTGTCTGTGTGTTTTGTTGTATTTATGCCTCGCTTTCCTCTGCTTCCATCAGCGGTTCTGTCTAATCAGCTTGCAGCTGGAGTCACTCATAACTGCTAAACATGGGACTCATAAAATGGAAGCTACAAAAACAGATGTCCTCATGAATTAGTGAGGCACCCATGAAAATTTAAAAGATGACCTAGGACATAAAGCTAGGGGGCTTATTTTTATTTCATTTTTCCTTCAACATGCAATATGTTGCCTAGAGGCATTGTTTTTGCTGTCTGCCCCCATCCAGCTGCAGCAGACCTGTTTGTAGATGATGCCAAATTAAAAGTGATGGAAATGTGCATGTCAAATAAATAACAACACAGGCTTGGGAATAACTGACTCCATCACTCACTGCTAAATGGCTGAAAATTGATTTAGGATATTTTTTAAATAATCAGTGTAAAATTCCAGCTCCATAAATGTCTCAACAGAGCAGGGATTTTAAACTACAGCGTCTGAGTACTTGGCTTCTTGTGAGGAGATGACATACCTCAAGAACCTCTTCTCTGGGAAACTACAGTACTGGTTCCCCAGTTGTACATTTTTGACTATACCTGCAAATACAAATGAAAGACATCTCCAAAACCACATTCAAGTTATCTAGCCTGTAGAATATGTCTAGATCAGAATACAATCTAAACAAGCATCCTTGTACTTCTAAAGAACAACAATTCGTTAACAGAAGCCCACACAAAAATTGGCAATATACCACAAAAAGTGGCTGATGTGGTGGTTGAATATTTTTTTGGGAGGGAAATGCACCACAAAGTAGCTGCATCCAGCAGGACAGGGTGTTTCAATACCATTCTTCCTGGGCTGTCTTGGTACATATGACAGAACAGACCTGCTTGAGCTCTGGTCACAATAGCTATCTACATAAGCCCACTGATTGATGATAATATACACACTAATCCTGCTAGCTCTGCTATTCCAGCAGAGTTTGCTCCGCCCCATGCCAATCCTGCCTGCTCTGTTACTCCAGCTGAGTCTGGTCAATGCCTTTTCTGCCAGCTCCACTGCTCCAGCCTTGTCTGGCATAAGTCACCAACTCAGCCTGCCTGCCACCAACTCAGATTCACCAGTCAGTGCGATCCAGGCACTGTTCCACCTCCACCTCATCAAGCAGACAACCACCAATCCAACTTCACCAGTCAGTGCTATCCTAGCATCACTGACACCTACATTAGCAACCAACCTACCACCGACTCAACTACACCAAGCAGTTCTTCCCTGGCGTTGCCCTCACTCCGCTCTTGTCATCCAGCTTGTTTCTCTGCCCTACGTCATCAGCCTGAACTTCACCAGCGCTGCTTCTCTCCTGCTACCGGCTGCTCTCCTGTCCTGCGTTACCGGCCAGAGCAGCCCATACTCGTCTTTCCTGCCTCTCTCCTACGCTACTTCTTTGCCTCTGCCCAACATTGATCTGTACCAGTCTACATAGAGCTGGCACTAAGATGGTTGCTTGTGTACAATAAACCTCTTAAAATGTTCTACAGTTTGCTTCCTGCATTTGAGTTCAGAACCCGACTAATAGAACTTTTGGTCTTAACACTCTGACTTTGCATGTCATGTTAGTACTGTTGGATTTGACTTGTATTTAGACACTGGATTCTCCATAGATTTACCTGTTGTTTCCTGAACTGCTCTCACTGAATACTTACCAGAAAGTGAACTCCTACCTGGACACTGTGTAAATTCTAAATTTGCCTCAAACCAGCTCTTCCCTGGATGTACAGTGGACCCCCCAAATTCACGGGGGTTAGGTTCCAAGGGCACCTGTGAATTCCAAAAAAATGCAAAGAATGGATGTGGTCCCAAAAATGCCTATTAAATGCCTATTTATATCATTTAAAACCCCAAAACTTTCCCAAAACACTTTAATTTAATGTCACATTCAACCTAATGCATTATCCTTAACAAAATAATGATACATTAAACCCATATACTGTAGAGTATTGTACAGTCTCCCGCAGTACATTGTACAGCGTAATGTAAAATAGTGATGTTACCCCTATATTTACAAGCACGTTTTCTCTGGTATGCACTGGTGTTGTTTTCTTTTGTATGTGGGTCTTCGGTAGCTTCTGCAGCTACAGTAACTGCTGATATAGCTTCTGCGCCTTCTCAGGAATGATGTATCATCCAAGGGGATGTTCTTCTTCCTGCAGTTGGTAATCCACAATGCCAAGGCAGATTCCATCCTCACAATGGTCTTATTCCTTATGATTGACACCTTCTTGGCACTTTCACATAAACTTGCTGCAACAGTAAATGGTAAATGGTAAATGGTCTTATACTTGTATAGCGCCTTTCTATGCTTTTACAGCACACTCAAAGCGCTTTCACACATTATTCGGCCTCCTGATCGCTGCCTCCTGCTTATGTATGTCTCATTGATGCCATAATGGTGCGCTACTGCGGCAAAGTTTTCTTCTCCTTAAGCAAATCAAGAAGTTCAAACTTCTCCTGGAGCATCTTAAACCACTTAGGAGCCTTCTCAGGTTCCTTAAAAGGTGCTGCAAGGCATTTGGGAGGCATCTTAGGGCTTGAGGAATAGCAAACCGAAATTGCTAAAACACTTGGAGAAACACTCAAGATAGCTACACATGGTAAACTGAACTGTGCAGTGATGTTGGGCAGAATTATGATAATATTTACATTACAAAATTATTAGATTATATTAGAAAGAAAGAAAGTCACTTTCAGCTTTTCCCATTTAGGGGTCACCAGAGCGACTCGTCACACTGACAACTTGCATGTTGACATTTGGCATGTGTTTTACACCGGATGCCCTTCCTGATGCAACCCTGACTCAAACCCGGGCCACAGTGGCGAGAGCGCTGCACCTTAACCACTAGCCTACCAGGGACAGCTCATATTACTATTAATAATTTGGTATTAAAATGCATGAAAAATTATATATTACCAAGAAAACATCTGTAAAAATACCATGGAGGATATTTGTGGATTCCGCAAATTTGCGGGGGATCCGCAGAGATCTATTAGTTAGGTTCCAAAGAAAAATCCGCAAAAGACTGAAGTCATGAACTCTGAACCGCGAATTTGCGGGGGTCCACTGTACTGTGTTATGCTCATGCTGGATACAAGACTGCCTGAAATTGATACTTGTCTGTGTTGTTCAGGTGCCTCTGAGGAAAACTAACAGTTTTGAGACTGGCTCAAAGTGTGGTGGCAATTTTTATAATATGGATCCAAGTATCCAATGTTTGGAAAGAGATTATTCTCTGTGGTGAGTGTTAAATAAATTGGTTAAATACATTGAGAAGAATTTTAAATTAGTAAATTCAGGAAAGCTATTCCACTATTGTGTTAATAATTGACGATTCCTCGTCTTGTGATGTAGGTATTCTTTTGAATACTGAGGTAGGTATTCCTGAGGGAATACTGAGGTAGGTACTTATCTAAAAGTACTGAGTGTAGGTGTCACTTAACCATGATACTGAGTGTAGGTGTCACTTAAACAAGGCACTGAGGTAGGTGTTCTCAATTTGGAGTTTAAGGCGAGGACACTGAGGTCCTGTTCTGGTCACAAGAAAAAGTATAAGTGACTGAACCCTAATGCAGACGTCCGTTTTGTACTGAAAATTATAGCTGTGCACAGCTCCCCATCTAGGACAATGGGAAACAAGGTGAGTAAGGAGGATCCTCTGGAGAGTTCAATTATTGACATAATGAGGGGAAAGCACGGTGACAAAAGTGTCCAAAGAGTGGCCATATGGACATGTGAATTTGGTTTTCCCCACAGGGGTTCTTTAAGTGTAAAAAAAAAATTGAGGAACTTGAAAATAAATTAAAGGGAAAGAAGGAGGCCTTATATAAGAAAAAGAAAATATCGCTGAAAGAACTTAAAGATGTAGAAAATCATATAATCTGTCGCTTAGTTCTCTGCATCCGCAGTGTACGGCTCTGAAGCTGGACCACCACCCGGACGCCTGCCCAGCACCTGCACCACCACAGCCCGAACCATCACACACCAACTTCAGGATAGACCTGATGTCAAACCCCAACCATACGACCCACCGGTCTCCCTGGCCCTTCTGTCGCTGCAGACAATGCGCAGTAGTGCTGCCTATGACATGAGTGCTCATGTCTTTCAATGCTGAACTATCATTACCCATGGTTGAAGTGTCTGGCCCTACTGGTCCCATCCTTGTGTTCACGGGCCCCAAGTGCCGGGGCTGCGTAGCAGTGTATTAGTGCAACCTGGAAAACATAATGTGACATCAGAACAGAACTCTCACAGTGTGCTGGCATTCGCATCCAGACTGCATCTGGGTTTATTCAAACATTAACATTCAAATATTGTAACAGTGTACGAATAAAGTGCATTTTTATCCCATATTTCCAAAACTCAAGTTCTCAATATAATCACTTTAACACCTGAGTGACATGTCTGAGCACCACTATGGTGGTGAATAAACAGTTGCTCCAGTGTACCATGCACAACTATAATTAGTTGCCAAATAACTAATGGGCTGCACACTAAAAATACTACACCGTTATCTTTGAACAAAAATACATTTACATTACTTCAAACTGAATATATAACTATCTCTCATGCATTTACATTGACCTTGGTTTAAACATTCTTACTTTACTTAACTCCTAATAACAATATACAATGCATATTAGTGACAATAAAACCGAATAAGGTCACGCGAGACTTCCTACCCGCGGGAAACCTCCGCTTTACTTTGAGCCTTGACTGACTAAACCATTACTGACGAGCATGTAAATATACACCAAACAGTATACTATACTAAATACTAATTAAATACTACTGCTTTGTATGGATAGTTTCACCATCTACTGACCTGGAAAACACAATGTGACATCAGAACAGAACTCTCACAGTGTGCTGGCATTCGCATCCAGACTGCATCTGGGGGCGGAGACAGAAGGTCCCTCCCCAAAACCATTCTGGGTGCAACACCAAGCACACAAAGGTTCTTCAACCACCAAATCCAGGACAGTAGGCACGGGGCCAAAGAAGATAAGGCAGAAAAGAAGCTACGTACACATGGCAGCCATGACCATGTACCAAGCCATCCAGGAACAACACGAGAGACTTCCAGAGAGGGGGACGTGGTCATGGACGTGAGTTGGAGAACGTTCACCAATGCCCAATGATATCTGACTGAAACCAGGTTGGTGGTGGCGAAGGGGGAGGAGGGACAGTGAATGAGACCGCCACTGTGCCTACAGATGAGACACAGCAGCTACAGATGAGTGATAACACACACACACACACACACACACACACACACTGCACACCGCAATGAAGAAGAGCTTGCTGATACAAACCCGCACATGCTTATACAACACAACATTAATGTATTAGAGAGCAAATTTGAGCCCCAGGGTACCTATGTCAAATATGAATCTGAAGCATATGAACAATTTCCTCAGTTCATATTCTTTATTCAGGGACAGCTAGTTACATTCCTTGTTGATTCAGGAGCTGCTCCCTCCCTGAGGGAAGATCATTTAAACATTGTTTTCTGCTTTATTCACATTGTCCTGTCAGTCTTTTAGGCAGAGATCTTATGTGTAAACTTAGAATCTCACTTTTGTTAGAAATTAATGCAATTCTTTTGTTGGAAGCACGAGAAGTGACGACAGGAGAGGACTGTTTAAAATCAGCAGAAAGTTTACTGAAAGTCTGATCACAGGTAGGCCTTACAGTGCTGGGATCAGAGAGATAGAGCTCCCGCAGGAGTTCCATCCACTGACCCCGAATTAAGGTCTTACAATACATTTTATCTTCTTGGGCTGCTCTACACTAAACAAAGGTACAACAATTCATGCATTGTAATCCTATTGGT